CGGGAGAAACCAAGGGAAGGGAGGCTCCCCCGTCGCAGGCACCCGGAGGGCGCGCGCGATTCAAAGGGCCCGGGAGCTAAGAGCAGAAGGAGGCGGAGGAGAAGAATGGGCGGGGGGTGGAGGACAGGAGAAAGGCCGGCCGCTGCCGCCCGCCCCGAACTGGCCCCTTCCATCACAGGGCGCTGAGACCCCAGGCACAGGCCCTGAGTGCCCAGGCAGCAGAGGTGGCGCCCCGCCCGCTCCCGCTGGAGGACCACCGCTCTGCCTGGATGCCCTCCTTCCCTGCCCACTCAGTCCCCGCTCGCTTTTCTCCTTCCTGACCTCCAGGTGCTCACACCGTCTCTCACCCTTGCTGATGCCCCTTTAAAAACCCTTCTACGGAGTCACATCATCACCACACCTATGCTAAGGGTTCAGTTCTGGGTCCCACATTGCATGTTTACATGAACTTGTGGAAAAGGACGAGGATTATGAATAGTCTGGAAATCACGTTCCAAAAGTCGAAGAAACTGGGGACATTTAACCTGGGGGAGAAAAGATAGTCGCAGATCTTTAAAGGGTACGTCTTCGAGTTGAACATAAACTCAGTTCCGAAGAACAATCAAGCAAGAACAAGCACAGAAATCCTGAAATAGAAGAGCAAGGGAGGTTGGGTGGGAGGGGAGGCGAAGGTAGGCTCTGTAATTAAAACAGCACTGGCCCAAGAGTACAGACAGACCATGGAACACAACAGAAAAGCCAGAAACAGACCCAAGTGCATAGGAAATCTGGGATACACTAAAAGTCAGCTGGGGAAAAATAGACTTTTTATAAAGTGATGTTGGCATAACTAAATAACCGTATGGGAAATGACAAAATCGGATCTTCTCCTTACTGTTCACAAGGATAAATTCCAATTTACATTCAGATCACAACCTAAGGGTAAAAAATGAAAACAAACACGTACTAGCAAAAATATGAGTGAATTTCTCAATGTATTATGAGTGGGCCAAACCCTCCTAATTATGTCTCAAAATCCAAGGGAAAAGACTTATAAACCTGATTACTTAAAAATTAAAAATTTGTCCAGCCCATGTATGCAAAAAATGCAAAAGAAGCAAAGTTTGACAATGACAATCTGAGAAAAAATATTTGTAACCTATTACAAAGGGTTAACGTTCCTAAAATATGAAGAACTTTACAAATAAAGAAGAAAACAGCCAGCAAACCTATAGAAAAACGGGCTGAAAAAATAAATAGTTCGTTCTCAGGAAAAGAAATAGGAATAGCTCACAAACATATGGAAACGTGCTCTGCCTCACTCATAATAAAAGAAACACAAATGAAAGCTACACTGAGATACCATTTCCCACTCATTGGCAACAGCCAAACATTTGACAACATACTCTCTTGGTGAGAGAATGTAGGGGAAACAGGTACTCTCATATATTGCTGATTATTATACAAAATGATACAACCCCTGTGAGCAGGAATTTGGCAACATCTGCCAAAATTACCTGCATATTCACCTATTGATCCAACAATTCCACTTCTAAAGATCTATCTCAAAGATACTGGGGATACAACGACAAATGCTGAACAGACATATGCACAAAACTATGTTATTCCAGCATTATTTTTAACAACAGAAGACTGGAAATAATCAAAATGTCCACCAATAGAAGAATTGTTGAATACACTAAAGTACTATGAAACCGGGAAAAAAAGAAATCAAATAATTCTATATATTCTGCTAGGGTATGGTTTCCAGAATATGTCTTTTTCAAAATCAAAAATGAAGGAGTGGAGAAGAGTATACTATACTACTTCTATCTAAGAAAGTAAGGAGAGACTTTTTTTTATGGCTTTGAGGTAAAATTGACATGCAATAGACTACACGTTTTAAGTGCTCAATGTAAGTTTTGACTTACAAGCACATCTGTGAAACCATCATCACATTCAAGATAACGTGAATCCTTCACCTCCAAAAGTCTCATGCCCTTGGTAATCCCACCTCCTGCCACTTGCCACCCCTCCCTCCCCGCCCAAGCAGAATTTCTGTCATAATGGATTAGTTTGCATTTCCTAAAGTTTTATACATATGGAATAATACACCATGTAGTCTCTTTCCTCTGGCTTCTCTCAACATAAGTTGAGACTCATCCATGTGGCCACATATATCATCAACAGGTCATTCCTTTTTATTGCTGAGTGGCACTTCATTGTACAGATATGTCACAGTTTGTTTATTCTCCTCTTGATGGCTATTTGGCTTGTTCCAGTTTTTGGCCTTTACAAATACAGCTGCCATGAATGGTGATGTACAAGTCCGTCTATGGACGTATAACTTACTGATAGAGGGATACCTGGATCATTTGACAGGTGTATGTTTACCTTTTCAAGAAAGTGACAGTTTCCCAAGGTGGTTGTACCATTCTACATCCCCACCAGCAGTGTATGATGTTTCCAGTTCCTCCACATCTTCTCCAACACTTGGTATAATCAGTCTTTTTAATTTTAGTCATTCTAGTAAGAGTATAGTGATAACTCATGGTGATTTAAATTGGCATTTCTCTGATAAGCAATGACGTTGAGCATTATTTTTAACATGCTTAAGCCATCCATATATTTTGTTTGGTGAAGTATTATTTTACTGGGTTGTTTTCTTATTAATGAATTTTGAGAGTTCTTTATATATTCTGCATATAAGTCCCTTATCAGAAAAATGCTTTACAATGATTCCTTCCTAGTCTGTGGCTTGTCTTTTCATTCACTTAACAGTGGATTTCAAGGGGCAGAAATTTTTATTTTGATCAAGTCCCAATTATCAATTTT